TATCATGCAAAGTTAAGCTGCAAATCTTAATTACTATTGTTGTTGCTGCTGACTGGTTTAAGAGGGTTTTATTTTAGGAGTATCTGAGTCTGGATATTTATAGTGAAATTGTGGGTGTGGTTACGTTGACTTAAATTGCATTGGGTTAGGTTAGGGGAGGTTAGGTTAGGGGAGGCTAGATTAGATTAAGTTAGGTAAGGTTATGTCAGGTATCTGTTAGGTTTAGTAAGGGATAGGTTAGGTTAAGTTAGGTTAGGTTAGGGAAAGGTTCGGTTAGATTAGTTTTGGTTAGGTTATAGATATGTTAGATTAGATTAAGTTAGGTTGGGTTAGGTCAGATTAGAATTGATTGAGTTAAGTTAGGTTAAGCTAGGTTACGTTAAGGAGAGGTTAGGTTAGGTCAGATTAGAATTGATTGAGTTAAGTTAGGTTAAGCTAGGTTACGTTAAGGAGAGGTTAGGTTAGGTCGGATTAGACAAGATTGAGTTAAGTTAGGTTAAGCTAGGTTACGTTAAGGAGAGGTTAGAGATGGTTTAGCTTCGAAATAAACCACTTCAAACCAGAATAAACCAGAAAAACTCGTGATAAACCCTCCAAACTTTCTTTATTTTCACCCAACACTCAAAATTAATCACAATGTCTTCCATCTAATATTTTTCTCCAATTTTTAATTTTTTTTTAATTTTGATAAACTTGTCAGAAACTGCGTCACTTCTCGGGTGTACGAGTGTATGTGCATATACAGGTAGATTGGCTGGGTGTGTGTGTTCTCTCTCTCTCTCTCTCTCTCCCCCCCTTCTCTCTCTCTCTCTCTCTCTCTCTCTCTCTCTCCTGTGGCTATAGTGAGCAGATGTTAATTCCGACGTGCTTTTGTGGTGTGTGTGTATGTGTGTGTGTGTGTGTGTGTGTATGTGTGTGTGTGTGTGGTAGTGACTGGACTGGGGTTAAGGAGATGGTGATAAAGAGAGGTGATAAGGATGACGGAAGAGAGTGAGAGGGTAAGGGTGAATGATTGTGAGATATGAGGAAGATGGTGAGGAGGGAGCAAGATAATGAGGAGGGATGGGAGGAGGGGTATAGTGAGGGAGCAAGATAATGAGGAGGGATGGGAGGAGGGGTATAGTGAGGGAAGGGAAAGGGGGAGATGATGAGAAGGAAGAAAAGGGAGTGAGAGAGAGTGAGAGAAGAAAGTAGGAGGAAGAGGAGAAAAAGAGGGTGAGGGAGGGGAGAAGAAGAAGGGGAGGAGAGATAGAAAAGGGAGAAGGGGAGGAACAGAGGAATTGAGAGAGAGAGAGAGAGAGAGAGAGAGAGAGAGAGAGAGAGAGAGAGAGAGAGAGAGAGAATGATAATATCTCCGTATTTCACCTGTATCCTATTTAGCACGTCTGTCTACCTGTCTTATTTGTCCCGTCATTTATTCATCTGTCTGTTTAATTAATATTCGACTGTCTACCTATTCACCTGTTTGTCTGTCTATCACTTCTGGTTCACCGGCCTGTCAATCTGTCTTCTCTCTCACTCTGTCTCCATTACCCTTAACCAGAGTACACATCAAAATAGCCATATGTCTGTGTCTGTCTCTCTGTTTGTCTGTCTGTCTGTCTGCCTGTCTGTCTGTCTGTCTGTCTGTCTGTCTGTCTGCCTGTCTGTCTGTCTGTCTGTCTGTCTGTCTGTCTGTCTGTCTGTCTGTGTATATCAAGCCTTCAATATACGTAAAAACAGGCAACACACAACAGCTTTGCCGATCCATCTCGATAATCCAATATCACTCCGTCACTCACCCGCCTAACCTCACCCTCCGTCACTCACTCTCTCTCCTACCTCACCCTCCGTCACTCACTCTCTCTCCTACCTCACCTTCCGTTACTCACTATCCCCAGGTCACCACTCCATCCCTTACCCTCCCCAGGTCACCACTCCGTCACTCACCATTTCCCAGGTCACCATGTCATCCCTCACCCTCCCCACGTCACCACTCCGCCACTCACCACTCCTCAGGTCGCCACTTCATCCCTCACCATTCCCCAGGTCACCACTCCATCACTCACCATTCCCCAGGGTCACCACTCCGTCACTCACCGCTCCCCAGGTAACTTCGGTGTGATCTACATTGAACATGCAAATGAGGAAGGTAATCAAGGAATCGTGTTTCCCCAGACAAGAGACCAGAGATTATACGCTGTAGGGTCGCCTCTCTCTCGCTCTGTCATACGAGACGATGGTATCAAATCTGTCTCCACTTCCTGTGAGAATCAGTTATGCACGGATAATTTTTTATTATTATTATTATTATTGTTATTATTATTATTATTATTATTATTATTATTATTATTATTATTATTATTATTATTATTGGTAGGATTGGTGTACTGGGGAGGCAATATTTTGGTAATATATCGCTTATAAGGGCTGTAAAGGGGAAAGGGTGTTGAGGAGTGCTCTCAGAGGGAGACTGAAGGGTAAGGGAGGGGTGGGAGGGGTGAGGAGGGTTCTTGTCCAGGTGTCCATAGCAACTATGACGAGGTCACTGTATTTACTCAACCACGTGTGTACAGCAAGCGTCTGGCCTCTGATTTTTCCCTTCCAAGAACACACTGATAATATAAGACTTGTGTGTGTGTGGGGGGTGCGTGCGTGCGTGCGTGCGTGCGTGCGTGCGTGCGTGCGTGCGTGCGTGTGGGCGGGGGGGTTGATAAAAACGACCTGGAAATCGAAGTACTTGTCAATAGCAAACGTGCTACTCTTACTGACTAGCAGAACAACCCCTAAGTCTCGGACCAAAGCTGATACCTTCCACGAAAAGAAAGCAGCGATCCAGCGCGAACTTCGAAAACTAATGAACGAATGCTGAAAAATTATAGCGTGTGAAATATAAAAAAGTGCGGATCAACACAATATGTGTGAATCTTTCAATTCCGCAAAAAAAATATATGGCTCAACTACTCATGGCGTGGCCCCCCTCCGTTCATCCGAAGGTAACGTCCTAATTAAAGACGAAGAAGGCATCCGTCAGCGCAGGAAAGAGCACTACCATTCGTTGCTCAACCGAAACACCGATGTGGATGCCCTGACTACCCAGCAGGTTCCTCAGCACCCAGAGCTGACCCACCTCAGCTATCCTCGATTCTTGGATGAGGTAGCTACTGCCATCAAGCAGATGAAGTGTATAAGGCAGGACGGCCTCTGCTTTCCAGCCGTCTCCACTCTCTCCTGGAGAATATATGGGAAAAGGAGGAAATCCCCCAATATCTTACAGACGCCTCCGTCGTCAATATTTATAAGAACAAGGGAGACCGGTCAGACTACAGGAATTACCGCGGGGTCTCACTGCTGTCCAGAGCTGACAAGATTATCGCCCGAGTCCTCCTAAATAAACTTCTTCCTGAGGCGGAAAGCTTCCTCCCAGAATCTCATTGTGCCTTTGTACCATCATGTGCCACTGCTGACAGGAAAAGTGCAGAGAACAACATTGTGATATGCCCATGGCTTTCACTGACCTTACTAAGGACCTCGGCGCTGTCAACATGGGAAGCCCTCTGGCAGATCCTCAGTCATTTTGGCTTCTCACCAAAATTCATTGCCATTGTGAGGCAACTCCACGATGGCATGAACGGTAGTGTCGTTCCAGTGCCAATTCAGCTGGCGGGGTGGACATCCAATACCTGATGAAGGGACTCTTCAACATAGACGACTCCAGACAGGATCAAAGGTGTCGGTAGCTTCCATTACTGAACCTCAGTATGCTGACGACCTCACCCTCGTTGCTCACACTGAAAGTGACCCACAGGAGATCCTAAACACCTATGCAGATGAATATGCATACTTCGTCCTTGAGGTGAATGCACTTAAGACTCAGATTCTCTTTCAGCCTGCCCCTAGTTTAACCACACCTCCACCATCCATCCAACTTCACGAAACTACTCTCTTTATGTTACCCACTTTCAATACCTTGGCTCCCACCTGTCCACCACCTCGGACATCGATGAAGACATTGAACATCGGATCAGATACGCATCCCAAGCCTTTGGCAGATTCTGCACCCATGGTTTTAACTATAGGGAGCTGAAATTATTTACACAGTTGCACGTGAATCAAGTAGTGGGCCTCCCCACCCTGTTGTATGGCAGCGAGACATGGGTCACATACAGGAGGCACTTCAAGGCACTTAAAAACTTTCAGCAATCTAGTCTACGTTCTATCCTCCGAGTTCACTGGGAAGACAAGAGAACAAATGCCTGTATTCTCGCTGACACCAACTGTAGGAACATCGAGGCTACCATTATCCATAAACAACTACGTTGGATTGGCCCTGTTACCCGCATGGACGACCGTAGACTGCCAAAGTAGCTACTTTACAGTCTCCTAACGAATAGTAAACGTAATGCTGATGGACAACAAAAAAGTACTGTATTAGGATAGTCTTAAGACAAACCTAAAAAAGTGCCAAATCGACCACCTTGCATGCATACCGAAGCAGACAAACGTCAGCGCCGGAAAGACGCTGCTGGCGCACCTCCCACACTAGATGTAGCCCTCCACACGTGCAACATCTGTGGACTGCCCTGCCGGTCCCATATCGGCCTCTCGAGTCACATCAGAGCTCACCAACGAAGTTGACATCCTTCCATTGTATCATAGCTGGATGATCGTCATACTCGATTCCACGTGACAGCAAAGTAGTAGTAGTAGTAGTAGTAGTAGTAATAGTAGTGTGTGTGTGTGTGTGTGTGTGAGAGAGAGAGAGAGAGAGAGAGAGAGAGAGAGAGTTTGACATCGTATATAGTTTTTTTAATGGAATCACAGACTGTTTGTGTGTATGTGTGTTTTTGTATCCAAAGGTGTGTTTATGTGTGGTTGTTAATATGTTCTTTATTGTTTGTGTATTCATAAATGTGCTTATATGTATGTCTTTGTGTTTGTTGACGTTGTTAGTTGTTTGTATTTGTTCTTGTTGTATACGTGAATCACAATAAATGACCTCGTTCTCTCCTCTCCGTCAGATAATGAGATCGTGTTCCGTGACCCAGCTGGCGGACTCTCCATCTTTGACGCCGAGACCTTGACCTCTAGAGTCCTCGTCTCCAACATTACCTTCGTGAGTTACTTTATTTATTCTACTGTGCTTACTTCTTTACTCTACTCTGCTTACTTCTTTACTCTACTCTGCTTACTTCTTTACTCTACTCTGCTTACTTCTTTACTCTACTCTGCTTACTTCTTTACTCTACTCTGCTTACTTCTTTACTCTACTCTGCTTACTTCTTTACTCTACTCTGCTTACTTCTTTACTCTGCTGTCCTTACTTCTTTACTCATCTGTGTTCAATTCTTTACTCTGTTGTCCTTACTTCTTTACTCTACTCTGCTTACTTCTTTACTCTGTTGTCCTTACATCTTTACTCTACTCTGCTTACTTCTTTACTCTGCTGTCCTTACTTCTTTACTCTACTCTGCTTACTTCTTTACTCATCTGTGTTCAATTCTTTACTCTACTCTGCTTACTTCTTTACTCTACTCTGCTTACTTCTTTACTCATCTGTGTTCAATTCTTTACTCTGCTGTCCTTACTTCTTTACTCTGCTGTGCTTACTTCCTTACCCTACTGTGCTTACTCCTTTACTCTATTATTATAGTGAGTTTTGTCAGATCAAACCAAGCCAGTAGAAAAACATATACATACCAGTACCAATGATGTTATTCTTTGTAAAATGGGAAGATGTATTATACTGTACATGATATTATTGTGTATATATGTCATCAGTTCTCTGGTATGGAAACTTTGGTCTTGGCGGGAGGTGTATTGATTGTTTATCAGACCACAGCTTACTTTACTTTACTGTGCTTACTTTTTTTTACTGTTCTTACTTGTCTATATTACAGTGCTTACTTCCCTACTCAGTAACTTTACTCTCTTCCTCCAGCAAAAATCGACCCCTTGAGTGGAGAACTGTCTCAAACAATTAAAAACGGGGGGTCGGTGGCCAGAGGTGTGTGTGTGTGTGTGTGTGTGTGTGTGTGTGTTAAAGAGTTACACTGTCGCCTTTATTTTAATATTTCTTTGTTTCTGTTATTCAGCCACATTTTCTCTCCCCGCCCCCTTTACCTCTTTCTCTCCCTCCCTCCCTTCCCCATTCTCTCTCTCCCTCTCTCTTCGTCTCCCCTTAACCTCTCCCACTCCCTCCCTCTCCCACTTTATCTCCCCTTACCAACTCCCTCTTTCACTTCCCCTAAACTCTCCACTCTCCCTCTTTCACCTCGCATTACCTCCATCCCTCCCTCCCTCCCTCCTTCCCTCTTCCCCTCTCCTCTCCCACTTCCTCCCTTTCCCACTCTCCCTCATCTTACGTCTCCCAAATTCCTCTTCCACTTCACCTTTCCTCCCTCCTCTCCTTCCCCCTCCCCATCTCTTTTTCCTGCCTTCATCACCACTAACTCCTTCCTCTCGTCTCCCCACAGCGACAACTCAACGTGGCCCACTTCAGTGTCTCCCCCGACCTACGCTATGTCTTGCTGGCCGAACACGTGGAGAAGGTAAGTCACTCCCTCTGTAATCTCCCTCTATACCAGGTTATCGAAAAGCAACACCCCATAAATGTTTATGGTTTTGTACTGAAATCTGGACTTTCTTTTACGGGGATTCTGGGATTTGGGTCTTTTACAAATTTGTCTTTCAGTTTATAACTTAATTGTCTCTGTGATTCACCAGTAATGAGTTTAAGTGGTAAAATATCCGTGAATATTTTTTTTCGTTCTGTCTCGCTGTTTGTCGTTCTAATTTGCCAACATAGACTCAGTGTTGTGTTCATCATCGTCTTGCTCTGGGTGAAGGAAGATTTTTGGAACATGTGGGTAATTTTCAGTAGACTCAGTCAGCCTCTTGGTGTGTCTGATGAAGAGTGACGTGTGTTAGTCTACCTACGGGGTTAACCTTTTTGCTTCTGATGTACATCGATGTCTTGGGGAATAATTGAACAGTGATTGCTTAAACGCGTCACTAAGTTCACATTTAAACTCTGGGTATTTCATAAGACTCTTAGGATTACTTTTACAATGGATAATGGTGAGGTCCTCAGGATTATATTTAAACTTAGTAATGAGGACTTCTTGATAAACCTCAACATGACTTGCTAACATAACCAAGGAGACAGAGACCAAACTAATCCCGGGTATATAGTCTTTCAAGTTTGTCACTCCTCGGCTCTGATATGCCACCCTAAAACACACTCTTCTCACAGGAGACTTAATAGTTCTATTTCATCTATAAATAAACCTGGACCTTTTAAGTCTTAGACAGTATGTATTTCACTATAAGCTGATGACGTCAAACTTAAGGTCATAATTATTCATCTGTTTATTTACGTAATACATTTAATTTCCTTGTATTTTCGTTAAAGGTGGATCAAAGATTATAGAAACCTCCTGATAGCAGTAGTAGTGTATAAACAGCCAGCAACAGTATAACACTATAACAATGTCAATTCTTAACACCCACACTGATACACAACATTGTTCACTATGTATACAAATTATTAACACAAGTTGAGTCTCACCAGTTTTAGGGAAAGACGCCATGATACACAAGCCAACCACTATTATTCCTCAGGCGTTAATTAAAGTGACACCTATGTAGCTCCCTAATTAGCCTGTTATAGTGTCTCTCGTGGCTACTACTGTGTGCCATATGTCCTTATACCAACTTAATGTCTCTTGTCATCCATATAACTCCCCAGAAAAGTAATGACTCCTTTTTTCGTATCGTCTACTTATTGTTTTTGTGTTTTGTTTCCTCTTAATGTTTCCCAGAATATCTATATCTTTATTTATCTCTAAGGTACTCTGGGACACCTGATTCTCAACCTCTATAATGTTGGAGGTAGAGCCAGACCTCCATGACCTCTCTCTCAGGGCACCTTATACCCTGAGTAGATAGAGTCAGACCTCCATGACCTCTCTCTCAGGGCACCCTACGAGGAAGAGATATTGTTGACTTCTTCATTATTCATAAGATCTAACACATAAGCTATTTAAACCTTCCTTCGTGTGTAATGACGAGGAGGAGTTCAATAAGATGTTTGTCGTGTAAGTTGTTGTTGATGAAAACATATTGAATTTTTTTTTTTTTTTTAGCCAAGATTTCTGTGTTTAATGAGACTTTGTGTGAACGACTAAATGTTGACAAAATGGAACGTAAACAAATGTGTGAGAATTTAAATGGACATGTCTAATATTATCACTTCTCTCACTCCTATTCATTCATTTACTTATTATGCCTTCCTTCCTTCCTTCCTTCCTTCCTTTCTTTCTTCCTTCCTTCTGTTCTTCCTTCCTTCTGTTCTTCCTTCCTTCTGTCGTTCGTTCCTTCCTTCCTTCCTTCTGTTCTTCCTTCCTTCTGTCGTTCCTTCCTTCCTTCCTTCCTTCTTTTTTCTGTTCTTCCTTCCTTCCTTGTCTATGCCCTTCATTCTCCCCTCCCTTCCCTCCCCCACACTGTCCTCGCCCTTCTTTCTATCCATCCCTCACTCCCCTCTTTCCTCCTGTCATCACCCTCTCCTTGTCATTCCCTTTTTTATCTTTCTCTCTCTCTCTCCCCTCACCCTCAACTCTTTTTCCCTCCTTACTCTGTCCTTGCTCTCCTTTTCATCCCTTTCCCCTTACTCTCCCCTCCCTTCCCTCTCTGCCTTGTCCTTCCCCTCCTCTCCTCTCCCCCAACCCTTCCTCACTCTCCTGTACATAAGTCTCTCCCCCTCCTTTCCTCCCCCACCTTGCCCTTCCCCTCCCCCTCCTCAGGCGTGATTGGTAACGTCACAAGGGGAGGGGCGCTGGGTGCTAGGTGCTGAGGGTGATGATCGTATTATGGCTCTCGAGGCTCCAACACCAACTGATGTTTACCACAATTTGTATATCTGGAAAATTTACATATACGGAAAATTTGTATATATGGAGCATGTTTATGTATCGTATGGATGAATAATTTGTGTATATAGAGCATGTTTATGTATCTTATGGATGAATAATTTGTATATATGGAGCATGCTTATGTATCTTATGGATGAATAATTTGTATATATAGAGCATGTTTATGTATCGTATGGATGAAGAATTTGTATATAGGATAATTTGTATATTAGAGGAAGTATATGTGGAGGAGATTTGGTATATACGGAATATATGTTGAGGTATGATTTATGTATATGGATAATTTATATTTACATGGAAGTGTATTTTTTATAAATGGAGGAGAATTAGTGAGTCACCGCCAGGGGGAGACACCGGTGTCGTCACCATGTAAACAATGGCCCAGCGCATGTGTAGTAGAGGAGGGAGGAAGACTTGATGAACGAGGGAGTTAGAATAATGAACGATGATGAACGAGAGAATTAACGAAATTAATGATAAACGAGATAGTTAAAAATTATCAATGATTCACATTTTCTTGATGTACTGGAAAAATATTCAGAATTTCCACGTAGATACTGATGTGATTCTTTCCTAATTTATGTTAAACAAACAACAATGGCAGATAATAAATAAAAGTGATAGACAAACAAACAAAAGGATTAGATGTAACACAACAAACAATCAGATGAATACGATAATTATAATTTGTTTTATCATTACTGACTCGAGTTGCGAACCTTTAGAGCTTGTTGTAGCGCTGTGGAGAAGGACTTACCCCCCCCTCTCCTTCACCCGCTGTGTGTGTGTGTGTGTGTGTGTGTGTGTGTGTGTGTGTGTGTGTAATAACAATTATATATAATGAGGATGATTAACGTCTCATTGAAAAAAAAAAACAGCTGCCAAAATATGAAAATATACAAACGGCATAAGTAATACAAATAACACATAATGACAAAAGTGCGGTCCATTTAACAAGGAATTTCAGCGTAGTTACAATACAACAGGGAAATTGGTCAGGAGTGAACACATAAATTATCTACGAGTTGTTGATTATTTTTACAATGGTTGATACGGGATGTTTTTGTAACAATCAGTAGGTGGTCGTATAGGCTGGATACGGATACGGTGTATAGTACTGAAGCTTCGTCCCAAACTTGCAAATGAGGTCACGAAGATTATCAGAGAGGAATGAGAAGGTCATCCTCTTGGGGTGTGGGCTATGTGGTTGATCCCAGGTGTTGTAACTGTGGCGGCCGGCATGATGTTAACTCACGGCAATGCCCCAATCGCCCGTCTGTGCCAGGGGAAAAGCCTCCCTGAAGGCCGCGTCTACCACAACGCCCCCCAGTCTGAGCCGCCTACCTCTGCGTCCCGTCTGTCTCCAGCAACGCCTTCTTCAACAACACCTGCCCCTGCCTGGCCTCACATTGGCTGCAACACGGCAGTTCCTCTTCCAAGATTTTGCCAACCGTATTGAAAAACTCTTCGTTACACTCTGTACCACCATCTCCGACCTACTCTTGCCCTCTGTTGCCACCCAGTCACTCCTCTCTTCTGGTTTGACACAAGCTGGTAGTCACTCTGTGAGCCCCTCTTGCTCACGGCCTACTCCACCGCCGGCGGCCTTCACTACTGGTGTAGCGCCTACCGGACCAGCCCTGGTGTGTCTTGCTGCCCCCGAGCCAAGTCCTGCCTCATCTTCACGACACGTGGTGCCTCAACCTGTCCACCCACCGCAAGCCGCGCCCGCTCCTGTGTCTGTGCTGTCTCCACCAGGGCTACCATTTGGACCTGAGGACACCACCCCCGGCTACCCGTACCCCACCGGCATGTCGACGCACACGCCATCACAATCACACAAAAAGGTGTCCCTCAATATTGTCAATGGCTATGTGCCTCCCTCCACCCCTACTGTACCTGTCCCACCACACCATATCACCTCCACCCCCACTGTACTTCGTCACGCCTAGTACATAGGCAACCCTGAGCCTGGCGGCACTGTTTGTAAACTTTGTGGTCAACCCGACTCTCACACCCTCTCTCACTACATCCTCACTCGCCCTATGACCTCCTCCTACAGGTACCCAGCCGTTACCAACACCTCTTCCCTCCCTGACCAGATATCCCTCCTCCTAGTGACAGGCCTGGCACTTGACATTATTAGGGGCCTGCCACACTTTGCCAAAAACAGATAAATTGTACCGGGAATTTTTCCCCCCCACACACTCATCATTCTGTCACTTTATTTAACTTGCTGATAAAACCCATGACCCTTCAGGCTTTTACGCCCTTAATGCATGGGTCAGAAAGGCAAGCATGAACTATGCATGCTTCCCAGGTGGGCGCTGTAATCGCCTCTGCCCTTCACCTTGCATAGGATGTAAGGGGGTGCCCAATAAACTAGCCCTCTCGGGGGCAATCTAAAAAAAAATCTAAATCTCTTGGTAGGTGATATAAGATAGGGGAGAATAGTCTTGCACGCCTTCTTCTGCACTCTTTCTAGGAGTTATTGTTGTGTGGCATTTATGGAAGAAGATCGGGCAGGGAGGCATAGATGAAATCAGGAAATATGAATGTTGTGTAAACATTTATGAGCTCAGCTGCGGGAACTGCGAAGGACTTGAGACGATGGAGGA